GTGAAACCACCTACACCAGGGCTTTTGTTTGCTGGGAGATTTTTTATTGCTGCTATAATTTCATCAGTTGTTATTGGTCTATTCAGGTTTTCTGATTCCTCCTGATTCAGTTTTACATGTTCTCACTCATACGTGGAATCTAATAAACAAAGTAGACTGAGGAACAAAATAGATCCAGAGACATAGAAGCATGAAACAGACTGATGAGTGTCAGTGGGAAGGTGAGGGTGGGAGAGTGGGTAGGGAGAGATTAATCAAAGAACTTATATGCATATATGCATAACCCATGGACACAGACAATATAGTGTGGTGAAGTCTGGGGGGTGGGGGCGGATGCAGGGTGGAGGGGATCAATGGGGGGGAAAAGGGGTATCTGTATGTAATACTTTCAACAATAAAGATAAATTTTAAAGATAAATTTTTTAAAAGAGATTTAAAAAAAAAGAAAGAAGAAGTGTTGGAGAAGATGTGGAGAAAGGGAATGCTCATACACTGTTTTGGGGAATGTAAATTGTACAGTCACTATGGAAACAGTATGGAGGTTCCCTTAAAAATTAAGAGTGGAACTAACGTCCTGGTCAGGTGGCTCAGTTGGTTGGAGCATTGTCCCATACAACAAAAAGGTTACGGGTTTGATCCCCAGTCAGGGCCCATACAGGTGGCAACCAATTGATGTTTCTCTCTCACATCTATGTTTCTCTCCCCCCTCCCCCCAAAATCAATAAAAATATATCCTCAGGTAAGAAAAAAAAACAAAAGAATGGAACTACCATATTATCCAGAATTCCTCTTTTGGGTATTTACCTGGAGCTATGGGAACACTAATTCATAAAGATGTATGTGCCCCTATGTACATTGCAGCATTAATTACAAAAGCAAAAAATGTAAATAACCTAAGTGTCCATAGAAGGATGAATGAATAAAAAAGATATGATATATACAGGGGTCGGCAAAAGAAGGTTTAAAGGTCTACACAAAACACAGAGTTTATTCTGGTATTATTATTTATTAATTATCATATTATTATCCATACAAACTACTGTAAAACTACTTTGCCCACCCCTATGTATAATGGACTACAGGGGTACTTCGGTTTTCGAATGTAATTCGTTCCCAAAGACCGTTGGAGTTCTGAAACGTTCAAAAACTGAGGGATCCACAGCCGACAGCTGGGCCTCAGGATCTTGCCCTCAGCGGAAGCCGTGTGGCATGTTCGACTTCCGAGGCGTGTTCGAAACCCAAGCATTTCCCTCCAGGTCTGCGGCATTTGTAAGCAGAAGTGTTCGTCAATGGAGATGTTCGAAAACCGAGGTACTACTGTACTACTAAGCCATAAAAAAAGATGAAATATTGCCATTTGTGACAACACGGCTAGACCTTGAGGGTGTTATGCTAAGTGAAATAAGATAGAAAAGAACAAAAATGGCATTTTATTCATATATGGAATATAAAACAAAACAGTAAAATTAAACAAACAAAAAAACCTCACAGATGCTGACTACAGAATGGTGATCACCAGAGGGACACGGGTGGTGGGAGTGTGAACTGCATAAACAGGGTCAAATATAGGAAACAGAAGGAAACTAGTCTTTTTATAGTGAGCGCACATATTGAATTATAATATTGTACACCTGAAATTTGTTATTAATGTTACCTCAATAAATTTAATTTTAAAAGAAAAGCACACTTGAAGTGATTAATACTATATGAACTCTCAGCGGAGAAATACAAACTACAAAAAGAAGGAAATTAAAACAATTAGAACTGGAAATCTGAAATTTTTTTTTAATTCTCTGGAGGGACACACTAGCAGACATGATGACAAAAAGGAAGGAGTCAATGAACCTAGAAGATGAATCTGTAGAAATTAAACAATATGAAGGACAGAGAGAAGAAAGTATTGAGAAAACATAAGTAAACAGACTAACATCAGCGAGATGGAAAATAAGGAAGTTTCAAGCCCTCATTTCCCCCTAGAAACATGAAATAAACAATGACAGACCCCAGTCAAACATCTACAGCAACAAGTAACTGTCCAATCAAGAAAAAAAACACATTAAAATAATAGGAAATTGGTGGCATTTTTATTGTCCGTTGGCCCACCCTCTCCCTGCGTGGTGTGGGTGGAAAGAATTGGCCTAATTTGAAGCTCTGTCCGCTGGGACAGAAAGACAGAGTGGAACTTGTGTACAGCTTTCTGGCCTGTCCGCGGGCTGCTGTAATTAGATACTATTTCAAACCCATTAGGATACTACTATCAAAAACCAAAAAAAACACATGAATTTATGCTGAATAAAGAAAAAATTTAAAAACCCAGAAAGTAGCATGCGCTGTTAAGAAATTGAAAAATTGGAACCCTTGTGTATTGCTGGTGGCAAGACAAACTGTGCAGCCACTGTGAATAACAGCATGGCAGTTACTCAAAGGGATTAAACACAGAATTACCGTATGATCCAGCAATTCCACTTCTGGATATATACCCAAAAGAATTGAAAGTAAACACTTGGCTCTGGGCTGTGTGGCCCAGTTGGCTGGAGTGTCGTCCTGTACACCAAAAGGTGGTGAGTTTGATCCCCAATGAGGGCCCATACCCAGGTTGTGGGTTCGATCCCCTGTCGGGGCATGTATGGGAAGCAACCAATCGATATTTCTCACTCATATCGGTGTTTCTCTCTCCCTTCCTCTCTCTAAAATCAGTTTTTAAAATAATAAACACTCAAACAGATATTTGTACACCCATGTTCATATCAACATTATTTACAATTACCAAAAAATGGAAGCAAACCAAACGTCCACAGACAGATGGGTAAAACAAAATGAGGTATACACATGCAATGGGATATTATTCAGTCTTAAAAAGTGTACATGTGCCCAGCCGGGCGTGGCTCAGCTGTTGAGCACCGACCTAGGGTCCAGGCGATCGGGGTTCAATTCCCGGTCAGGGCACATGCCCGGGTTGCGGGCTCGATCCCCAATGGGGGGCCTGCAGGAGGCAGCTGATCAATGACTCTCATCATTGATGTTTCGCTCTCTCTCCCTCCCTCTCCTTTCCTCTCTCTGAAATCAATAAAGATTTTTTTTTTAAAGTGTACATGCTACAACATGGATAAACCTTGAAGACAGTATGCTAAGTGAAATAGGCAGACACAAAAGAACAAATATTATATTATTTCACTTATTTGAGGTACCTAGAACAGGCAAATTTATAGAGATAGGAAGTAGAATAGTGGCTGCCAAGTGCTGGTGAATGAGGGAATGGGGAGCTCCTGTATAATGGGTGGACTTTCAGTTTTAGAGATGAAAAGGCTCTGGAGATGGGTGGTGGTGATGGTAACACAACACTGTGAATGTACTCAATGCCACAGAACTACGCACTTAAAAATGGGTAAAATGGGAACTTATATGTTATGTACATTTTACCATGATGAAAATATTTTTAAAAAACAGTACAATTCACCATATCAATAGAAAAGATAAATATGATAAACTCAGTGGATACAGAGAAAGCATTTGAAAAAATTTAATTTCCATTCATGATAAAAAAGGAAGCAAACTAGCAGCAGTAGTGAATTTCTTCAAATATATAAAGGTAATCCTCAAAAACCTGAAACTAAGAACAAGTCAAGGATGCCAGCTTTTATCAATCCCAGTTTTTAAGGAAAGCAAATAAATGTTTGTAAATGGAAATATGAATAAATGTGTCATATCCTATGTTTAATAATCTAACAGTATTTTCGGAAGCCAAACTAGGATATAAAGTAAGATATATTCATGTGAAGATATTATGGCCTGAAATAGAGTTGTATCAACCTCCCATGGTTGTGAAGCCTTAACCATTTCTTCTTTTTTATAGGCCTCCAAAATATGGTCAAATAATCTTAAGTAATCAGGATCATCACTTAACTTCTACCCTTAATTTGGACAAAAATTCAATGTGTCACACTGCTCAAGAAGAAGATGTCATGGTTCTAACTCATATTTTATAACATGTATTTGCCTTCTTTGAATATGAATTTTTTAATTAAATTGTTAGGTTATGCCACTGAGGATACTGGGGGGGGGTGGAAAGCAGGCAAGGAAATTATTTTATTAGGGCAATGATCTCAATGGGAGCTCCCAGTACAAGCAAATTAATGAGCTGGAATTCTCTCTCTGTGTGTCTCTTACCTTCAAAGCAGAGAAGACTTTGTCTTTATAGCAAACTACATTTCTCCTGTCGGGCAACAACATTTTTTTGAATATTTAGTATGTCAAAATGCAGGAATCATTGACTACGTACTGTGCAGCAATACTAAAGCAAGAAATGTAGAAACCCCATCTGGCTGGCATAATCATAGAAGGAAGTGCACCAACAAAGGTAATTTGCCAAGGAACCAAAGTTTAGCTTTGATTGTTGGGATCCAACTATTCCATATCCCCACTGTTACCACCTGGTCCAAAGCCCACCGTCCCTCTCCTGCTTCTACCCTTGTTCTCCTAGAGGCCAGGGAGGAGCCAAGTCAGATTGTGTCGCCCTCTTTTTAAGACCCTGCAACAGCCCCCCATTTCTGTCAGTGTATAATGTGGCAGACTAGGGATAAAGCGAAGGTCGACCCTTCATAATATTGTATCCTAGGCCCCTGCTCATGCTAGGGATGGGCCTGCACTTCCTGACTCATAGAGCATAAAAGCCCCACAGTTCAGGGGTCCGATCCCTCTCCAAGAATCCCACTCCAGGCCTGCTAGATCTCTCCTCAATAACCAAGGATGCAGTGATCCATAGGGGACCCACACACCTGTCCCTACCTCCGTGAGTTGTTTTTCAACGAGGGCTCATCCAGATGCTTGGGCTGTTTGAAAATGGGGTTCATGCGATTTTATACATAGCAATGCTTATTTTTATTCTCACTATATGTCTCCAGGACCACAGTAAGTCATTTTTTAGCTAAGATGTAAAGAGAGTTTGTTATAACCTATATATCTCTAAATGTATCTGCATATGACAAAAATTAGACACCTACCTGACAACTATCGTTGACATTGGAGGGTCCTGTATGTTTTTGTTCAACAAGTAGCATTTTTTCCACCCATGACTTGCATTGTTGATGGCTTTTCTTTTCCACAGGGGCATATGGCTTGGCTTTGGAGTCAGATTAATCTCTTTTGGAAACTGATGTCTTGCTAAGATCCTTTCTAAGCCAGAATGTTCAGAATTCTCACCTAGTAATAGGATGAGCATTACTGCAATTCAGTGTTCCTCTCCATTTTTGCATAGCAAGAGTAACATGACATTAATTTGAAAAAGAATATTTATGCCAGTTAATAATTGTGTCAAACTAATGGCAAGTTACTGCACAATTATTTCTATTTTTAGAATTATTAATAACATTCTGCATTTACACAACGTCCACTGCTTCACATTGACCTCAATTGGCCCCTAACCAAATTGTCCATCTACAGTGAAACAACGCTTTGCCAGAATGTAATTCAGTACTCTACTTCCCTTAGCAAAATGGCAAGGGAGGAAGGAAGGAAGGAAGGAAGGAAGGAAGGAAGGAAGGAAG